GCGGGTGCCGCGCCGCCCGCGTAGGGCGGCACCCGTGTCCCACGGCGGGGACTCGGCTCCGTGCTCGGCACAAATCCCGGCCACGTCCCCCTCTCTTCGCCCCTCAGCGCCTCCGCGTTCCCCTGGCAGCGTCGTGGCAATTAGCCCTCTCCCGCGGGTCCCAGCGTGCGTGTACCTACGCATCCTCTACCGTCCTCACACGTTACCCGCCTCCACGAACATATCCTCCGCTACGCTGCTATGCATACGGACCCTCGCCACAGCCACGCAGCATACGTCTTCTCTCTCCACATTCCCTTCACTTCACCGCAGAAGTCTATACGTGGCACCCTATAGACCCATTTCACTCCGCTGCGTCAACGTGCCTCCCCACCTGCCACCCTGCCTGTCCCTCCTCCGTGCTGCTCCTGACTCACAAACCCTTCTCACTCTACCACGACGGTACTCTCCTCTATCCCCATGCTGTTTTACGCCCTTCTCCAGCCTCACCTACTCATCTCCCAGATGTGGTGACAGCTGTCACCCCCCACATCAGCACACGGTACATATGCCATTTCTCTCTGCACATCTGCTTCACGCTGCTGCACCCTCCCGTGCCTCAGCTGGCAGTTCCATGCAATCTCTCTAGTGCAGCTCCGTACCCTCCCAACACCTGCACACCAACCTCCTGCCAGGCGTTTTCACACACCTTCCTCACCCTAACGCAGTCATACACCCTTCGCACCCCGCTTCCAGATGCTCTCCTCACTCAGCACACCAGCACACCTCCACCTGGTATCACCACGCACCAGACCACCTCTTACAACCATGTAACCGTACAACCTCACCATGTCTGCCTGTCACTGCTGCCTCACTTCACCGATCCCAAACGCTTCATCCCCATGAAGCACCTCACGGCCTGTGTATGTCACCTACTTCACCACGCATGGCCAAATACTTTTCCTCATGGCAACCAATAACCGCGGCCTATCTCCCTGCCTCACCACAATTCCCAGTACTCCCCAGCTTGGTGTGTCCCATTTCCCTGTTCCTGCTCAGTTGCTTCAAACTCTGGCCCCAGGCAGGTGCATCCTTCCCTCCATCATACAAAACTACACTATTTCCTCACTCATCCTTACTACTCCTCTCCAAAAACCTGCTCTTCCTGTTACTATTTCTTAACATTTCAGTCCCCTACGCTGCCTCTGGCTTACCGCCATCTTCCATGTTTATACCTACCTGGCTTTTCAGTCCCTTCTACACATGCTTCAGTTTCTCATCCTCCTGGTCACTCACAGATACACACCTCTCCAAGAACATTCACACAATATATACTTGATCATACACTCTGTTCCTCTTGTAGGCACCTCTACATTGTGTATCATAGACTCACAGAAATGCTGTTCACAAGGGACCTCTGGTGATCATCTAGTCCAACTTTCTGCTCAAAGCAGGGCTATCACCACCACTAGTTCACATCATCTGTGGCTTTTGTGCAGCTCTAAGATGAACAGCCCATGACCTCTCTGGGCAACCTGTTGCACGGCTGTGCTCTCCTCCTGGTGAAAACATTTTTCCCAGTATGTCACCAAGTATCTGCTGTTACCAAGAAAAAATCGGTTCTGACATATTTGTGACTATTCTCAAAATAACTGTAGGCCACTATTAGAGTGCCCCTTTGCCTTCTCTTCACCACATTAAACAAGCCCAGCCCCCTCAACCTCTTCTTGTAGATCCTGTGCTGTAGACTCCCAACCATCTTGTCATACCTCCTCTGTCTGCTTTCAGTTTCTTCACATTCTTAATATTCAGGCTCCCCCTTAATATTTTCCTCCATTCACCTCCTAGGAACTTGCAATGAACCTCACCTCTTGCCTGCATTTTTAACATTGCCCTTTCCAGTATAAGTGGTAACATGTCTACCACTAATCACAACACATGTCTACTTCCATGCAAATACCAATGTTGTTATATGCACTTATGCAAGGACCGCGTCCTTCACAAATTACAAGCTCTCAGTTTTATGTAGGTTTTTATGTTGGTTGTTGTGCCAAAAAGCTTGTTTGCTTTTCCCACATATATGAATTGATATAACAAAATACACTAGATCTTCCTACAAACCTGGCCTCATTTAATTTCCCTCACATTAGCAGACATAGGTAGAATAGAATAGAACAGAACAGACTATTTCAGTTGGAAGGGACCTACAACGATCATCTAGTCCAGCTGCCTGACCAATTCAGGGCTGACCGAAAGTTAAAGCATGTTATTAAGGGCATTGTCCAAATGCTTCATAAACACTGACAGGCTCGGGGCATCGACCACCTCTCTAGGAAGCCTGTTCCAGCATTTGACCACCCTCTCGGTAAAGAAATGCTCCCTCATGTCCAGTCTAAACTTCCCCTGGTGCAGCTGTGAACCGTTCCCAGGCATCCTATCACTGGGTACCAGGGAGAAGAGCTCAGCACCTCCCTCTCCACGTCCCCCCCTCAGGAAGCTGTAGAGAGCAATGAGGTCGCCCCTCAGCCTCCTCTTCTCCAAACTAGACAAGCCCAAAGTTCTTAGCCACTCCTCACAGGACATTCCTTCCAGCCCTGTCACCAGCTTTGTTGCCCTCCTCTGGACACATTCGAGTACCTCAACATCCTTCTTAAATTGTGGGGTCCAGAACTGCACACAGTACTCGAGGTGAGGCCGCACCATCACTAAATACAGCGGGATAATCACCTCTTCTGACTGGATGGTTACACTGTGTTTGATGGACCCCAGTATATACATCCAACCTATGGTCAGGGCAACCCCTGGGACAGCTACTCTGTGGTACGCCCCACCGTGAGCTCTGCTCTCCATATGCACGCTGGCTACGTTCTGACTCAGTGTCAGGAGGTGAGCAGGCTGTGCATCCACATTCCTCCTAAAGGAAACCCAGACACATAGCAGACTCACACTCCAAAAAGATGGACCTCTGACAGGGAGAAATGGGGGTCTGGCACTGAACAGCCACAGCAGAGGTGTCTTCCTGCAGTCAGCACACTCAGCGTGCACCCCACAATCATGACCGTGGGACACACCTCTGCTTCACAGCACAGACCCAAGCACTTCCTCCAGGCCTCAGCTACCAAACCCCTACCCCAGCCAGTGTCAGAGAGACCCAGATCAGTCTCAGATCACTCACTTCAGCAACCCAGGGTCCAACTCTTACCAGCCTCTCCCGTTCTCCACACCCGCATCTACTCCTGCACAAAGGGAAAGCTGAAGGAAATTCCTGTCTTTTCACACCCACAGAGAACCACAACTTCTCTCTTACTTTATCCACATATGGAAAAGTTACACCCTTCTGTCTTCCCCACTTCTGTAAAAAGGTTGCAAATCAACCTTTCAAAGAACGTATCTAGGCCCAGCACAAGGTTTCACTGATCTATACAATTAATTTCAATGTGTTGGAAGCTTCAACAGAGAAGTTAAAAACATGAACACAGGACAGTGAGCCCTCCTGCCTGTTGGCTCGAGCCACCCTGGAAGGCAATCTTCCAAAATACTTGGCACTACAACTTGCTTTTTGGATCTTTAACCTTAAACTTACTGGCCACATGTTACAGCAATACTACATCTTGCCCCAGATTCTTCCATCACTTGCCACATTTTTTTAATTTAGAAAGATATTGTGGGGTGTTTGTAACATTGCAGTCATCTCCTGCAAGGATGACATTTTTGCCACCTCATTTTCCATGAACAGGGCCTCCAGCAAGTGCTGCCTTCAAAGAAATGTATTTTAACATTTTTGATATGTATTAAATATAGATCTGCCTGGTTTACCACTGAACTTTGCACTGCTCTGACTCCTCAAGTAGTAAGAAAATACACCGCTAATCTCCTTTAGAGCTATTTCTAATATACTGCAGACTTACTTCCATTTACAGTGTATAAGTACACTTTTATTTGTAAGGACTTAGATTTTTAAAAAATGCTCAAATACTGACTACTGTCCAAAATGTTCATGCCTTGAATTCCTTAAAACACCTTGAAAACTTTTATTTGGATATTTTTCCTAGTCAAAGGAACTGTTAAGTTGTACATAACGAAACCTGTCTCCCAAAGATCTAAGCCTAACACATGCTTATCCATTTGATATAGAAAAAACTTTACATAGAAAGCACATGAATTTTGTAAACTACCAATCTGTGTGTCAAGCAAAAGGAGCCTGAAAAAGCACACATGCAATAAGGGTCTTTAACTCACAGATGCACGGGTTTAATAAAACCCCCTGATATTTAAAGCCAAAAAAGTTAAACCAAACCCCTGCATACACTTACTCTCCTCGACCAATGTGTTTAGTCAGGAATATCCATACAGAGTTTCACGCTGCTTCAACTGAGTGGGACCTCGCAGTGGTGCATCCTGAAGCTGAGGGGAGGCCCCAAGCCACCCAGGTATCTCACTGGAGGCAGAAAGAGCACGTACGGGCTGAGACGGCCCTTTTCGATCACTTTTTTCCCTTCGTTCTCTCAGATTTACTCCACCCTGGGAGTACGGAGCTGTGCCCACGCCGAAGTTCGGGCTGTCATCCACCCGCGGGGCCCTCTGGGTTAGGGACGGCACCGCCGTAACTGGAGGGTCGCGGGCGGCGGCGGAGGCCTGCTCCCCCGGACACCCCTTCCCACCGGGGTGGGCGGCACGGGGGAAAAGCGGCCTTTCACCCCGGCTGTGCCCGCAAACCAGGCCCGGGCCCGGCGGCCGGGCGCTCGGCGGGGTGCCGCTGCAGCCGGCCGAGCAGGGCCGGGCCTGCGGGAGGCCCCAAGCCGGGCTCCATCTCCCAGCCAAAACCTCCGGCTCCGCTCCGGAGAGCGGCCTCCCTCCCCGCTCCCTCCC